TCTCAGCCAACTAGCTCCCATCGCCGCCGCGTCTATCCTGTTTTTATCTCTAATACCAATTCTATGACCTCCCATGCCATAGTCTCTTGTGTGCCAACTCACAAACGCTGTGGTTTAACATTGAACCTAACCAAAGCAAGCAATAGCACAACATTTGTGGGTTGGCATACAAGAGACTAGGGAATGGGAAGTCATAGGCCTAGTATTAGAGATAAAAATATGATAGACGCAGCGGCGATGGGAGCTAGTTGGCTGACAGTAGGTTCTATAAGAGACGTGGTCCATGTGGCAAAGGCCTGAACATGAGGCTTACTTAGAGCCTTTAGCCTCGAATTAGTGACCCAGACGCAAGGGAGGGCGAATGAGTGGCACAAATGGGGCGACAGGGGTGAAGTGAAATATGTGAACCAGGTAGAGGGCAGACGGATCCTATGGGGCAAGAGAGAGACTGTGGTAAGACCTAGGGAAGAAAGACTGCGCAACAATATGGCAGGCTCTGATCCACATTCCCAACACAAGGGATGAGAAGGCCAGCGTGGATTGCGGAGCGTTCTCATGAAGGCCGATAAAAAGGGCACACCGTACCACATTTAATTAAGCAAGTAAAAATTGTGACAGTGAAGGTGTGATACTATGATATAGGAAATGTGAATAGGCCAGGGCAGAAGGTGAGATACTATGACTGTTTAGCACACGTTTGGTCAAAGGATCGGCTTCACTTGTCTCTCTTGACAAGTTGTAATATGGTGCTACGAGTGGCAAAACTCACTGACGATGCCGATTACGATGCCGGCGAAACGTTTTTGGATGTACCACGTCCACGGTCCGACTTTGGAAATTATTATGCATACACTGGACTCCGGACAAAGTAAGTTCCTCCAAGTCTTTCTACCAATATGACCACGTTGCGAAAACAATGTTAAGCAACGTCTAAGTAACTAATATTGTTACAGAAAAATACTATACAGGAGACTTATAATTAAAAATAAACAGAAAAATAAGAGATATGGAGACCAAGATAATATGGCAACTACTTGGTTTTTCAGGCACGAACACCTAATGCCAGGTTGGAGTTGTTGAAACGATAAGTATTTGGAAGACACTCTGTGTGGCTGCGAACGTAGAAGAATATGAGCTTGTAGGTAATGTTGGAGTAAGTGAGGAAATTAATCCTAATAATATGCGGTGACATAAGTCTTGCTAATAGTTTCCCGTTAAAAAGTTAAGAGCTGATTACGAAACATGACAAGTTCCCTTATATACTTTAACAGACAACTCCACTCCCCTTACCAAGTATGATTTATTCAACATCACAACATAAAATAGCGATCGCAGTTAAGTTAAATAAAGCAAAAATATACGTATTCCTTGAGTGGAGGATCTAACAGCAAAGCGGCTACTGACCATAAATACTAGATTGCTCAGTAGAAATTCTGAAGAGTCGCTTTAACCAAAATTATTAGACATTTAGTTCACTCGTGTGAGTTTATTACTTATTCATGCGAGTTTATTCACATATGAATAATAGTAGCACTAAAATAAGTAGAGAGAAGTACATAAATCGATCCCAGGTTGTTCCTAAATTTATATGAGTAAGTTCTTGTTTTTATTTTAGCTATGCTCATAAACTGTGAATAGACAGAAATTTGATATCACAGGCGAATAAGACGAAGATGTAAATAAATCAAAATCGAATCTCGAAAGGTTTCATTGGCAAGATATAGTATCGTTAAATTAAAAAAATTAACAAGTTGGAGTAACGGCTCTCACTGGCATATCAATCATTGTAAATTCTCCCGATACTGAAAAGTGGTTCATTCCGTATGAAGCTTCTAGTAAGTTCCGCTACAGAAAATTCGGATACAAATGGACTAGCACGTCCCCTCCGAGGTTATCAATAAACAATATATCTTTAACTAATTTTGATTTTGCTCTATTTATGCAGCATTCAATTGCGTCGAGTGATCGCTGACAAGACTTGCTCAGAAGCGAGACCCGCAGAATCAAGACAAATAGCAATGACAAATAAAAAATTTGTGATGATTTTAGTGTTGTTAAAAGAAGAATAAAATGCATTATGGCTACTAATGACAATGGCGTGAGCTTTGAAGAAAGAATTCAGCCCACCTATACTTTGTGGACTGCCAACAGCATTAGGTGTACATCGTATTGCAGGAGGCGAGGCCGTGGCGAAAGGGTTAGCTCGTAAGGGAAAGTTCCTATTTAATCGGGCTTGCTTTAAGCCATAATTCTCGATTCCTTCCTGACCCCTCCGCAACGCCTCTTCCGATCTCAACCATTCATTAGGAGGCTTTCCTGGCGCAGAGACAGAAAACAGTTTGGCCTCCGCAGAGCATCGACTAATGGCAGACGAAGGCATGGAACTCGAGTCGACTATAGATACTAGGTTAGAAGCTGAGGAATTAATATTGTTCTCGGACGAAAGTGGCAGAGATGAACCCGTAGAAGATTTAGAACCGTTATGCTCAGAGTCAGGTGAAGTGTGTACTGCTGCAATTGTGGTTGTCGTGCTTGCGCTGCTGCTACCGATGGTCAAAGGAATTAGAGCCGGTTGTGTGTGAGGCATAAACAATGTAGGCGCTATGTGTGGCCCAAATGTAGTGTTGAGATCGGGTTTGAGTCTGAGATAGATTTCTGCTCCGTTTCGCAAACTAGGTGACGCCAAATGCTGTGAGTTTGAGGAGCCTGGCAAAATAAAGAATGGGTGACGTTTGGATGCAAGATCGGCAAGGAAAGGGAAGTAAAATAGAATTAGACATAGAGGAATTTGACTCGCTATAAGTATGCATAATGCATGAATTCGGCATACGTTTTTTTACGAAAGATTAAAAAAATAACCAATTTCATTGACTTGGATAAATATTTTATCTGAAAAAACTTTCTAAGGAACTTGGAAATAATCAAATAAAAAAGCATACAGTATATAAAGCACGAAAAAATCAACTTATAAGTAAAACTTAGGCTTGCATAGCCAAATGTCGGAGGCTTCATTTATAAAGAGGATGGTAGCCCCCACTACGGTGAAGGAGCTAGGATGCTGGGGATGTTGGACGCACAGGCTAATGGTAACGTTATTTTTCTAGCGTTAGTTTAACCTCGTTTTCGCAACTTGCTAGGAGCGAAAGGGAGACCATGTAGAATGTACCTATTCATGCGTCATCTGCCATAATACTCATGATTTCCATCATCGGACTGTTAACTTAATACATTATCAGACGTTTCGCCGGTATTGTATTAAGAATCGTGAGGGGCATAATTCTTAGCACAATGTTACAATTTAACAAAGCGACAAGAGATAAGTTATAACTCCATACGATGCTGGCGAAACATCTGGGAATGTACCCAAGTCAACGGTCCAAAGCTGGAAATCATGAAGATTACGGCAGAGGATTCAGGACTGGATGCGTTTCGGCCAATTTACGTAACTTAGGTATGAAGACCAAGATGGTGTGGCCTTTTGGAGTGTGGAGGGTTCTCATGAAAGCCGCTAAAAAAGGGCACATCGTACTACATTTAATTAAGCAAGAAAAAAATTGTGACGCTGAAAGCGTGATAGGAGGATATAGGAAATGTAAATAGGCCAGGGCAGAAGGGGAGATACTATGACTGTTTAGCATACGTTTAGTCAAAGTATCAGCTTCACTTCTCTCTTTGATGAGTTGTAATATGGCGCTACGAATGGCAAAACTCACTGACTATGCTGACTACGATGCCGGCGAAACGTCCGGGAATGTACCACATCCACGTTCCGACTTTGGAAATGATTATGTATACAATGGACTCCGGATAAGGTGCGTTTCTCTAAGTCTTCCTACCAATATGACCGAGTTGCGAAAACTAAGTCAAAGAACTTCTATAAAGAGTAGAGTTGGGAAGTGAAAATGTTAATTTTTTAATATATGAAGCCCAAGATGTTGTGGCCTCTGGTGGGGTCGCAATG